CATGACTTCCAGGTTTTCTGCCTCGGCCAGGAACAGCTTATCTGGGTCCTGACCAGGTCCAAAGGGATTGGCAGTCGCACTGGGATTCATTTGAGACATCTGTTCGGTCATGTGGCTCGCAGCTGATAGGTAGATGCAATTAGCAAGAGTACTTGCAGAAGGTTGGTTGTATGGGCAACACGGGAGGGAGAGTAGTAAGAAGAAGGAAGCAAATGGAAAGCACTCACAGTTATCACGGCCCAGTATAAACCCAAAAACTGGCTGCAGGCCGAACAAGTTCAAGAAATACCATGACAAACTCGAGACCCATCTCACGTCAAGATCACGAGTCATAACTCCGGACTGCAACATGGACTTGAACCGAATGGTCAACGGGAATGGTAATTTCACTGCGAAATTGTCAGTGTCCGTATTCGCATCCCTCCATGTCCAATTTTCAATGGTAGCAGGTAGCTGGTAGCTTTCAAGGAGAATTGCGAAAGCAAGAATCGCAAGAACATACAAATAACAAATCCAGAAAAAAAGGCATTAATCCACCCCATAATCAATGTTTGCGGAATCATCATCGCCATGTTACCCTTCATCATACCCATCATCGCATCCATGCCTGCAGGATCAGTCATGGGGTTTACGGGTCCCGCGCCGCGTCCCTCTGGATCTTTCAGGAACGAGCCCTCCTTGTAGCCTGTAATGAGAAAGTTCTTGCGAGAAGCAAGAGATGACGGTGTAAGGACAGCAGAGGCATTATTTCGTAGATTGACGCCGCGCAAGAGTGACAGACGTTCCCGGGACTCTGCTAGCGTTGAGGCGGTTTTGGCCGGAGTTGCCAGGAACACGGTTGCGTAGTGGCGCAGGATTCCAGTTAAAATCTAAACAATAGAGTTCACGAATTTGTTATTAGATGGATTCATGAGTAGAAAATGAAGGCGCCTGACGAGACGCAATTCTCTGGGGCATATTCCGTACCATGACCACACTAATAGGGATGAGGATCCAGTAACTACATCGTTGGGAGTAACATTAGCCATGCAGACAGCAAAGGAAAGTTAATGAGTACATACAACAGAGCCGGATCCCGAAGGATGGTCTGCTCCACCCCTTGAACCGCCATTGCAAGAGACAATGAAAGCTGTTGACTCTCAAATAATAGTTGGCGATAGTTACCTGTTGAAGTTTCATCCCGCTCAGCGGACTTCTTGCAGAAGGAGTGAGTTAGCTGACGCCTCGGAGAAAAGTAGGGCCGGAACAATATAAACCTCCCGACGTGTGATGACTAAGGCAGTATGATGTCACAGGAGGCTGGCCTTTGTCAACTCGGCGCACTAAGCCTAAACAGATGCTAGTCTGATTTCCAGCCCAAGGACAGCTTTCAATGCTAATTATCAGATAGCTAGGATTCAGAGTATCAGCTAACACGTCTTGTCCCCTTGAACAAAATCGATATTCTATGAACGTGCCTCTGTCATCTCAAAACAAAGCAGAATCACACGGGACACGCACGGCATACCACCCCCAATGGCCTCCTCTAAGGTCCCCGTCTACTCATTATCTGGTGAGCATATTACACTTATCGCAACCCTCCTCTCTTTTCCCCCAATCATACGACATATACAATCCAAGTGCAAGAGACCGAATAATGGACTGGCCCAAATTTAACATATCTTACTACAGAGCTCAAAAATGCTACTGACGACGCACTAACTCCTTACCTAATATCCATCCCAAAACCCTACCGATTCACCCCAGACAACTTCAAATCCAATGTCCGCTTAATACTAGGATACACTGCCGTGGCCATGTCAGGAGCCTTATTTTACGTCGACCGCCAGCTGGGGTGGAATGTTTCGCACACATGGACCATAGCCGCTGTCGTGACATACTTTATTCTCAACTTCGCCTTTACGGTCTGGATTTGGCTGGTGGAGGCCGGACAGGTGTTTGAGGGGAGTAGGGAAGGGGGTGAGAAGGTATGGTTATATATGCTTATATACAACGTAGATGTTTTTCAGGGTAGCATTGTGGACTAATGAATAAACGAATCCAACCAGCTCCACATCTGCTCATCGACTAAAAAGCATTCGCCGCTATATACACTGCGCATTAGACATACATCCAACTCCGGTGCGGTTCTTCAGGACGCTACTGTTTCTGCGCCCTTTTCGAGATGGTTTTCTGCGGATGGCACGTTTCATCCCGAACCCTTTAAGCATTGGCTTAATAGTGAGATAAAGGCGTTGAAGGGGGTAGATTCGGCTACTAGTGATAAGGATGCGACAGGGAAGCAGTAGGGTTGTGGGATAATCCCTTTGATGATAAAATCGAAGAAGAGTGTGGGCAGTGGCTTTTGGCTGTTAACTGACCACCCATGTCCTGTCCTGACTCCCATTCATATTCTTTTCTTGGGACTTGTTTCTGATTCTGTTGCTTGCTGGATGATGGAATGGTTGGTAACAAGAATTCTGCATGTTTATTATTGGGATATCGTACGTTATGGGAAAAAAAGAATTAGTTCCTACATTACCGATGCTGCTAATGTATTCATTTTTTCAACTTGCGCAAGGATGTATTCATGAACACCTCCTACTCTCCTATCCAGGTTTCGTATTCAGTCCTCTTTCCTGGGGATATCAGAGGATTGCACTGCGATATCGGTTCCCTAATCGTATGATTACGATCATGCAGATGACAATAATAGTAATAATAAAGTCTCAAGAGATGTTGCTCCTTTAAATTCCCACCAGCAACCCCTGATCTGATGTTGAAATCAAAATCCAAACGCTCCGTTTCACTCCATAAAACAATAATAACATGCACTCCAAAATTCCAAAAATCAACTCAAGGATATCGTTGAAACTATCTTCCTTTTTATGTTCGTTTCGAGTTTCTTCGTTTTGCTTCGTTTTCCACATTTTTACTCCTTGGTTTTATATAATTATACCCCCCTTCCCTTTTTTTCCCCTTCAGTCCGGCTACCAACCTTTTGTCCCTAGATGGAAGAACATGAGTTTATGCAAAAATGTGTACATATCATACCGGTTAAGAATACGGTCACTCTCCTTACTCCGCTTGCGTGACGACGCCCTCAAGAGTGCCGGGTTTCTCAACAGCGTCTGCAGGGTGGACCTGACTGTGGCTGCGGTTCTGGACGATCCTCTATTTAAGGGGATTTGAAAGTCAGGACAGATAAAGTGAAAATTCAAATACATAATATCGTTAGAAAGGGTAAGGAAGGGGGAAATCTCACAAGCAAGTTTCTCAGCAGCACCACGATCGTAACCTTCCCAATGGCCGGGACGTATATGGATGCTTTCTCTTTCACCTCTGGTCCGAAATTCTATCGGCAAAAGAAAGAAAGCCGCCGTCAGCATTATAAAACTTACTCGAAAAAGAACAGAATCGGCCACCTCCTCTCCTTATCACCAGAGACTACACTCACCTTCTCACTCGAAAAGTTAATACACACAGCCCCCTGTCTCAACAACTTCGTATCAAACCTGAAATTATCCCCTGGCACCCCGCTGATAACCACATCACAATGCGGCACCGCATCTTCCAACCCCCACCCCTCCATATCCATAACCTCGTGATGTCTCTTCCTAATCCCCTCCCCACGCGTAAACTGTTGTACACCTGTGACATCCACACTATATACACACGCGCCATCATTCGCCAATAACGCCGCCAGCGGTCTCCCCACCACCTCCGACCGATTAACCACACATATCGTATGCCCAAACAGCCTATTCCCGTAGGGGAGGATAGTGTTGTAAATCTGCAGGTACTCGAGGATCTTGATAACTGCGAGCGGCGTGCAGGGCAAGACGGATTTCTGCCTGTTTTGCGGGGGGTCGAGGAAGCGGATGTTTTGGTACATGTTGAAGATGTAGCGGTGACTGAGGCCCTCGACGTCCTTGGAGATGTCGACGATTTGTTGGAGATATTGGTCTTGTCTGTTGTTGAAGATGGGGTAGTAGACTATTATGCCATCGATGTCTGAGTCTGCGTTGGCGGCTAGGATGGCGTCTTCGATGTCGTCGCGCGAGACGGTGCGGAGGGTATAGCGAAAGTTGCTATGAGTTGGAGGTTAACATGTTTTCGCCGTTACATTTTTGTTTAATTAATTAAACGTCAATTGAGGTTTCTGTAAAATGATTCTCCAAAGCCCTGGCTGTTATCTTAATTGAAGCAGCCACAATCGCAACCCGGGCGAAGCACATCTGCGCTTACACGGGGAGGATTCTCATTTCGCAAAAGCAAAAAAGGAACGATCACAGCTAAAGAAGTAAGAAAAAAATTACACTCACTTGTCTTTACACGTCTTCTCCGTCCAATCCGCATACATCTTCGCAGCCGGGTCTGAATTGGCCAAAAACCCCACGAGGTGCGGCGCCCTGTTCAGCGTCTGACGCCCCTCATTGACCTCAGCCAAAAGGCCCCGCGCAACATTCGCGGCAAGTACAACTTTGCAGGAAGCTGGGGCGGGGGTTTCTGGTTCTGATGCCATGTGTCTGGATTTATTTGTAGTCGAGGGGAGGGGAAGATGTAAGGAAGGGAGGGTGTGGCAGGAATCAATTCATGAGTGTCTACGGAGGTGAGAAATGGGTTTTATAAACTTTTTCCTTTTATTTTTGGGTGCGTTCCAGGCTTATCAATGAGCTGATTGAGCTATCTATGTCTTTAAAATGATGAATTGATTCACAAGCTAGACTAGAGGACATCAACAGAGTATCTTGTCAAACAAGTAAATAATAGAGTAAGAGATCTAATCTAGAATGTGTTGGAATATTCCTATATATATTTTCTATAACTCTAAATGGATACTACAAACTCAGAGATAGAATAGTTTCAAATGCTAGTTGATTCAATCAATGTAGATCTCAATGTCAAGAAAGAATCTCATCCCCGCTATTCATTATATTGTCAAATCCTGACAGCTCTGATGTTTCTTGAAGAGTTTAACTATCACTATGAAGATAGTGAACGAGGAGCTGTGAGTATCTATGAAGTACAGATATTGGCAGCTACTATATTCTGTGATAATAAAGAGTCTACTCATAGCTAACATTATTATATTAATCATTCAATTGAAAAACTATGAGTATCTGCACTCTATATATAGTTAAACTCTCTGTGAAACACTGAGACTTGTTAGAATTGAATAATACAATGATGAATAGTAGAGAAGAGATTCTTTTCTTAACTTTGATATCTACATTGAATCACTAGGTATTTTATATATAAAAGCTGTGTTTGAGCTAAACTCTTGACCAGGTGCAAATAGTCTACCGTATGTCTGGGTGTATTATTTTATATATATATGTTTTTTCAAGAAAATCTTTTCAATTTGGAAACACAGTAAATGTCAGCTTAAACATCTTTCTCTAGCTGAAATAATAAAAAAAAAAATACTCACTCATACAGCTTCACAGAGTTCAAATTCACCAGAGCTGGCTGTGCTCATTAGATGTCGGCTTCTTTAGCTTTTTCATTGTTCAAAATTCAGCACTTTGTATTAGTATATCTTTTTTTCTCATCTTTTCTCCTCCATTTCACACAACTGTCAGAACCTAGCAGCAGCATCTAAGAGCAGACAGTTCTCAGTTCTCTCTTCTTAATCAATCTCAATACAATTGTGTCTAACAGAGGGATAATCGTACACAGTACATTCATCATATAGCAAGTAGAAAAGCGACAAAATAGAGAAAGAAGCCGTAAAAAAACAACGGAAACCGGAAATTGAAAAAGTAGGCTAGTGAGAAAAATGAGAGATGAGCAGAGTTGAAACGTATGAAAAGTGATCACAGGAGAAGAGGCAGTAAAAGAAGAGAATTCATTACTTAGATGACTCCCATGTAGAGAAGTCATGAGTGTAACTTTTTATACCACTTTTCTCTTTCTCACAGAGTGCCAAGAATACACAAGAAATTAAAATAATGAAGTAATAAAACGAAAATGAAATTGATTTCAAAATTGTACACGAGCTATTTCTTGTCTATACATTGTGGCAAGAGTGAGTTTTTATCAAAGAAATAAGGAGAGAGGAAGAAAAAGAAAGGAAAAAAATGATCCTTTTTCTTGAGTAGGTGGGAATGCTTAAGGGATAAAAACAGTAAAAAGAAAAAAAAAAAAGGAAAAAAAGAGGATGCAAAGATTTAATTTGTTACACATAGTTTTCCTTTCTATTCCTTCCCCCTCCTTTCATTTTCAAATACATTGCGGTTGTCAGCGCAAAATGGTTATGAGAAAGCCTTGTTGAAGGCAATAGTGACATCCTTCAACTGAGCCTCAAGGTCCTTGCTCAATTGCCCTTCCTTCTCAATGGTTTGGAGAAGCTCAGGCTCATTGGATTTGAGGTGGGCAAGGAAATCGGTCTCCCACTGCAGAATCTTGTTGACGGGGATGGAGTCGAGATAGCCGTTGACACCAGCGAAAATAAGTGGGACCATCTCGTTGACAGCCATGGGGCTATATTGCTTCTGCTTGAGCAGCTCGGTCAGGCGCTCACCGCGATTGAGGGTCTGTTTGGTGGAAGCGTCCAAGTCGGAACCGAACTGGGCGAAGGCGGCAACCTCACGGTACTGAGCCAAGAAAAGTTTGAGTGAACCAGCGACTTGCTTCATCGCCTTGAGCTGAGCGGCGGAGCCGACACGGGACACGGAGAGACCGACGTTAATGGCTGGGCGAATACCCTTGTAGAACAATTCGGCCTCCAAGAAGATCTGGCCGTCAGTGATGGAAATGACGTTGGTGGGAATGTACGCGGACACGTCACCACCCTGGGTCTCAATGATGGGGAGGGCAGTGAGGGAACCGCCCTTGTGGGCGTCGTTCAATTTGGCGGCACGCTCGAGAAGTCGAGAGTGGAGGTAGAAGACGCTAAAGGAATAAGAGTTAGACATATGTGAACCCTACAAAAGAGAGAAATTTTGAAACGTACTCTCCGGGGTAAGCCTCACGTCCGGGGGGACGACGGAGCAGCAGAGACATCTGGCGGTAGGCAACGGCCTGCTTGGACAAATCGTCATAGGTGATCAGGGCATGGCGTCCGGAATCACGGAAAAATTCGGCGCAAGCAGTCGCTGAAACGGGTAAGAACAGTCATTAGAATCAGAAGTTTTTTTAAAAATAAAAACATAATATAAAATAAAAGGGAAGAAGGGAAAAAATAAGACTTACCAGTGAAGGGAGCAATATACTGAAGGGGAGCAGCCTCGGAAGCAGTGGCGGCAACAACGATGGAGTACTTCATGGCATCGTTCTCCTCAAGGGTCTTGACGAGCTGGGCGACAGTGGAACGCTTCTGTCCAACAGCAACGTAAACACAGTACAGCTTCTTGGTCTCGTCATTGGAGTCGTTCCATCTCTTCTGGTTAAGCATGGCGTCAAGAGCGACGGCAGTCTTTCCAGTCTGACGATCACCAATGATCAACTCACGCTGACCACGGCCAATGGGAACCATAGAGTCGACACATTTGAGACCGGTCTGCACAGGCTGGTTGACGGAGCGGCGAGGCAGAATGCCGGGGGCCTTGACCTGAGCACGTCGTCTCTCCGTGGTCTTGATTGGGCCCTTTCCATCAATTGGGTTACCGAGAGCATCAATGACACGGCCCAAAAGCGCGTCGCCAACGGGGACATCAACCTGAGGGTGAAGGGTTAGCATATAAAAAACATCAAGTTGATGACAAAGAATTTCCTGTACATACAATCTGGCCAGTTCGCTTGACAGTCTCGCCTTCCTTGACGAGACGATCAGAACCGAAGAGCACAACACCGACTTGGCCGGCTTCCAAGTTCATGCACATGCCCTTGACGCCAGAGGCAAACCTAAAAGTTTGGTGTAAGTATGTTTTTGACTTTCAACGGTCGGAAGGTTAGACAAAGAACGTACTCGACGAGTTCCTCGGCCTGGACATTGGCCATGCCATGGACGCGGGCAATACCGTCACTATTGTCCAGCCAGTTAGCATTCATCACTATATCTTTTTGTTGTGGTTGTATTTTCGCAATGGCTAATTTTTTTGTCCTTGATGTTGGTCTGTTTGGGTGAGAGATTCTAGGCGTACCCGACAGAAAGGACACGGCCAGTCTCAGCAAAGCCGGCTTCTTCATGGGCACCCCGGATTTTCCGTTCGAGGATAGAGGAGAGTTCGGTAGGAGAAGCCTTTGCTTCCGCAGCGTATGTTCGAACTTGTGAAAGTGGTCCTGGGGCAGCAACTCGAACCTGTTTTCGACGGGAAGAAAATTTGTCAGCGGGGTTTAAACAGAGCAGACGCGACTCCAAGGGGATATAATTGAGTCAATTGGATCCCAACAGGACATCGACATCAATATTGAGGGCGGCATGGATGGATTCTGTCGGGTGGAAGCGATGAAGACAATGGGCGTGGCTGGGGGTTTGGATGGGAAGATCGATGAAAAGGGATGGGAAGAGGGATGGCTTACACTAGCGATCCTGCCAGAGGCAGAGACGGCGGCGACAGAGCGGCTGGACTGCCGCAGGGCGTTTCTGAACATTGTGAAGGATGGGGTTCAGAGGGAGTAGAGATGGAAAAAGATAGGAGGAGAGAGCAATTGGAGGTTGCACAGTGGGAGAGGAGAGGAGCGGATATTGTGGATGGTGGAAAAGAGCGAGCTTTGAGGTTGCGAGGAGGACTGGGCCCAAACGGGACTAGCCAAGATCTTGCCGAGCCTAATAGGACAGCCAGCAAAGTTTGTTCCGAGGGCTGAATGCCACCACAGCGCACAATTGCAGGCGATGAGACGGTGCAATTACAGTGCTTATCTATTGCAGATACCTTTACTATCGTCTATACGGTTCAGTTGCTCCAAATACCGCCATCTAGAGGCGCAATGCGTGGTGTTTCGCCTTGTTTTGGGGGTTTTGTTGATTCCTAGAGTTGCGACTAAGGGCGACATTGTTGTGCTTAGTCATGAGCATAACGAGAAAAGATACATTTCAAACGCATATAAATTAGATAAAGGGCATTTGCAATTGAAAACACAAATGCCAATATCATATGCTAGATTATATAAAAATATCAACTAACGTCACGTAAAGTATTATCCGTCACGTATAAACATCCACTTGTTTTGAGAGTAATAGAACCGAATCGATCATGGAGAAGAGAGGAGAGTAGACAACTCCGGAAGTCGCGGGTAGATGAAATCTTGCCCCTCCAAAAATGAATATACATATGAAAGGGTCGTGTCAGTGCATCCTGCTTCCTCCTTCCAATTGTTCCCATCACGCATCAATCACCCCCACACCATACCATACCGTACTATTCAATAAACCTCTCGCTTGACCCCTGGGTATATATTGAATACAAAAGCCCGGCCGCAAAAGTAGCACACAACAGATAGCCACCCTATCCTCCACCTGATGGCTTAAAAGAAAAAGAAAACGGCCAAGGGAGTTTGGTGGGATGTGGGAACGGGAAAAGCAAAATAACTATTTAGCTCTTTCCCTTCCCAGTCCCTTTCTCCTCCTTAAACTTCGCAATCTCCTTCATAACCGCCTGATCAATCCTGGCCTTCAATTGTGGCCGGTACCCCAACGAAAACAGAATTTCAAGCCACACGAAAAACGGCGCGAGGAAAAACGCCTGCACCAGATTATCTAGCAATGCGGGTGCTCTCCCCTCGAAAGCGCCGTGGCCGACAAACTGCGCTATCCATGCGACTGCCTGGATGCCTAGGCCCCAGTATGTCGCTGCGGAACCGTAGGTGGCTGTGAGATGGTTGACAAGCGCAGTGCCACCGACTAGTAAAGGGGCGAGGAGAGCGCCGGCCACAGGTTCCATGAGGACGTAGAGGGACGCATAGAGGAGGCCGGCTATGGTGCCGAGGTTTGGGGGAAGGTTCGTGAAGGAGAGGGAGTCCGGGAGAGGGATGACGGGGCCTGAGTTTGTTGCCTGGATGTTGTTGTTAGTTCTGGATTTGTTGCTGATAGGGAGGGAATGGGAGAATAGGAGGTGTACCAGTTGGAACATGCACAGCATTATCACCGGGACACATGTGATGTGGATTGCGACGTTCACCTATGTAGCGAGACGAGATGCGTTAGGATAGATAGGTAGAGACGATTTGAACGTATGTGACATATAGGATCTACATAGGAGGGCGGGTTCTCCGGATATCTCTTACTGGATTATGGTGGTAGGCACCATACTATTGCACAGAACTGTCAGTCTCTTGTTGTGGGTTAAGGAGGGGTCAATAAGTAGAGACTCTACTATTACTTACAAAGGTAAACTGCTTTTCCAGGTTGAGCGCCATGGCTGCTATCCGAGTTGCCCGTCTACACAGAGATGGAGGAGTGGGATCTCATGTAAGTGTGGTACATGAACGTGTCGCTGGGTGTAGTAAATAACCTGGGAACCTAGAAATAGGTTATAGATAAGCGGGGATGGTGGGAAGAGCAGGAGCAAGCAACTGGATACTGGGGATTTGAGTTGGTATATTGTTCCCAGTCTTGGTATGGAGGATCAGGAAATATCTGTATTCGGACTCTGGCTTCTGTATATTCCGGCTCGCCTGTGTGTCTGTCTGTCTCAGGCTCGTAGGCGGAGATGTTCCAATTTCCCCAGATGTTGTTCTGGGGCAGGAAGATTTAAGGTTGCCGCCGCGAAGTGCCCAGCTTTCATGTGATCGTCATTGGTCACCATGAAGATATACTTACGCAGTAGTACATCCATCAAAGCCGTACCCTCAATAAGTATGCCATTTTATCATTCCTTTTCTGTTGTTTGTAAAGAATTATTTATCTGCCTCCCACTTCTCCTCTGGGACAAGCAAGCAGCGCTCATGTTCGCCATCTACACATGCCTCACACTCGCCTCATAGTTCTGCTCGTTAGTAGCTTCCTCTGTCAGTACACCGAGAAAGAAGTCCATTTGGTATTCATTCCGTATCTTGCATAGATTCCTTAACCCTCTGCCATCTCATGAACCTCATCCAACTTCCAAGTCGCTCATCTACTACCTAGGTAATGTCCATTGTCTAGGAGCCGGAGATCACCCTTGAGTTTTATATCACGTGATACACATAAAGTCCACGTGACTGCTCTTCGCGCCCGCAAACTTCCAAGGTTCCAAGGTTCTTGCCTCTGTCAGGCTCAACATGCCAATCTCTGAATCTCTCCCGCTTCACACTCCCCTTCCCTCTCTCCCCTCCTCATTATCCTTTGCTCACCTGCGCAATCCTGCGGATTACTTTGCTCTCCATAACGCGCCCGTGGGCTACTTAATTTAGGTTTTACTCAGCTCAGCTAACCTGTACGGACGGCCCTTCTCCTCCTCCAATTCCCTTAGGGTACCAATATTCAGCTTTCTCTTCTCGTCTCTCGTTTACCCAGTTTATAGAAATAGACGATTTGTTGCTGGCTAAAGCTACGCGCTGCTTTTGCCTGTCATTATCAAACAGTCTTCCTGTTTGGACCACGAAATAGAGAAAGAGTAAAAAGCGAAGGAAAAAAAACAGCTCTGTCATGATACGCTAAGAATCGCACGACGTCGCCCGGGCTTTGATTTGCGCGCAAAGTCCGTTTGTTAGGAAGGCCGTTCTGGGAGCTTTGGGGGTTGGATTGGATCTTGCCCGCCCACCCGCCTACCCACACACCCACACACGCACATTGGGGCTGCGGGGGATTTAGAAAATTTAGCATCCTTCCGTCCAAAAGACAAACCCGGCGATTCATTGCTTGAGAGGCCGTTATTCTAGTCGCCATACAGTGAGCGCGAAACTACAGCGCGCGGGTTTGTCCTCTGTTGCGTTCACCCGCCCAGCCTTTTCACCATGTTCTTCATCCACTTCCTCGAACATGTCCTCACTCTCCACCCGACCTTCTTCGGCTCACATGTGAAGGAATACCTGACGCAGAAGCTGCTAGATGACGTGGAAGGCGTGTGCACGGGCGACTATTACATCGTTTGTGTGATGGATACATATGACATTTCGGAGGGGAGGGTGTTGCCTGGTAGCGGGCTGGCGGAGTATACTATTATGTATAGGGCGATTGTCTGGAAGCCGTTTAAGGGGGAGACGGTATGTATTTTCTGTGGGGCTTGTTTGTGGGATTCAGATGGGCTTTTTACACGTGTCGTGCTAACTGGGTATCGCCTGTGATGGTGATGATCGCATGAAGGTGGATGCTATCGTGACATCTGTTAAAAACCAAGGGATATTTGCAGAAGTTGGCCCGTTGACGGTCTTCGTGTCGAAACATGTATGTTTCATTTATTATGTTTTGCTCGTTGCCGCTGATATTTCCTGTTCTTCTTTTACTGGATTGGTTTGGACTGGACGCACCCGAGGTTCGCTTTGCTAACGAGTATCATTCCATTTTTGTTCCGAGTAACAGTTGATTCCCCCCGAAATCAAATGGGACCCCGACGCGACTCCGCCGCAATATACGGACAATGGAGAACAGGTTATTGAGAAGGGCACCAATTTGCGCATCAAGCTGATTGGGTTGCGAAATGACGTGCGCAATATGTTTGCGATTGGAAGTATCAAAGAGGATTATTTAGGGTCTGTCTAAACCCGTCCCATGCCCATGTTTCCACTCCTGTAGGCACTGGTGTTGTATATTTGAACTGCGGAGAGAGAGGGGAAGAGAGAAGCGCGGCGGATAGACGATCAGCCCATGACTAACAGTTGCTATGAAAACAGGACGTTGTAATAATATACCCCATCTTTCTTTCTAAAAATTATCTATACCATAAAAAGGGACGAAGGTAGGCAAAGGACAAAAAAGTGGAAATGAAAATAACGGGAGGAGCGAGAGAGAAGCGATGGAGAAACCAAAGAATTAAGTATTCTGTCTTATTCTCGTCGCGGTGTTCTAGCCTTTATTATTAAAAAAGCAAAAGTAAGGAAACGAAAGGTACGAGGATGACTTCCGGATTTCTGTTTCGTTTGCCTGCTCTGTCGGGCTATTATTGTCCATTGGAAGGGCTGCATTCATTTATTGCATCCAGTTGTCAAAAAAGCATTACCCCAAAGCTGTTTCAAACAAACGCCCAGAGAACGATGGACGGGTTTATCGGAGTATTTTCCACCACTAGACTTCATTTAAAGTCATTTAGCAAGGCGTTTAAAAAGGCGGGGTTTTTTTTTTTCTTTTTTTTCTTTCTTTTTTTTCAATTTTTCAATTTTTTTAAAAGGGGCGTGGAAGCAGAAGGCCCGGGGAAGAACATATATACACCCAGACACCCACATCATTGGCAATATACATAACTACAGATGAAATTGATTGTATTCTATATTTGTCCTGTCCTTCTCTCAGAGTTAGCTATTTCTTTTTGTGATTGTTCAGAGTGTTGTTGTTCTTTATGTTAGACAATAGATTGGAATGGAGTAGCTGACTCTGAAATAATGTGCACCTTTTTGTATGACACGGGCACATAGGCAGGTAACTAGTTAACTAGGTTTGAAAACAACTTTCACTTTTCACTTTTAACAAGATCAGTGTTAAAACAAAACCCAGTGCAGAGACTGTGAGAGTGATAATGATGGATCAAAACTAGCATGTTGCCCTTGTACGTACATACATACATACATACTCCATAGCATCAAGAATAATTGATGATTCTTGCTGGCAATTTCAATTTGAACACATTGGTTGCTGTGTTCCAGGCTTCTCTTCGCCGCAGCATTCCAGAAGCCCGAGCTAGGCCCTGTCTGCACAGCCAGCCAGTCACGGCGTCTTTCGAGGGAAGATGAAACAGTGGCGTTTGTTCTGGGGCTTATTTAGTTACAGCTGCCGTGGATATTAATAATAATAGGCTGCATTGCATGTACGGAGTAGAAGAAACTCCTGGTTCTTGTTTTCTGAGGAACAGGAGACAGGAAAACAATGGAGAGTTTCCCTTTTAACTATAATCATATCCAGGAACAGGTATATGTTATGGTGACTGACCTGACCTGACCTGACCCTTGACCTTGTCCAGGATTTCCTTGGCCTGTTAACCCGCCTTGTTTGGTTTCTGTTATTCCCCAGACAATACGTAGTAATGTTATCATTATTGATTAAGTTGGAAATATCTCTCTATCTTTTGTTTTTATCTATTTTATCTCTAATAAATAATAATCTCTGCACTCCACATATAATAGTCAGTACATTTCACAAGGAAGAAAAGATCATACATACCATACACCTGCTGTCAACTGGGCCTCTACTACGTAGATGTTAGAGAGATTATAACTACACAACTATGTATTTAACTGCCAGCCAGCCCTCCTGAGAAATAAATACCGAGCCCGTTGGAGAGAACCAACAGAAACCGCAGAAACCGCAGAATACAGGATACAAATAAATACAGGATACACCTGAACACGCTTGCCCGCCGATTACTTTACTCCTTGCTGCAACAACATCCATAGCAACATTCCCAACCCGCGCGCCCAAACACCGTCCGTCCCCTAATAACAATAACACCACTATATATAATAAAAAATAATAAACAATCCTGATCCCGGGCTCTGACTGACTTCCTCATACCTACCTGGTCTCGTCCTATTTCCTCATCTCCTCCGTATCCCTCTCTTCCCTCTCCCCCCGCCCCCCTCTCTCCATCCTCCATCCACCTATCTATCTATCTACCTTACCCATCCCCACCAACCATGTCGCTCAAAGCCGTCTACGAGCGGTTCTTGGCCGATCCAACGGCCGCGTCTCTCTCCGCCGATGCTGCGCTACACTACATATCCACCACGACCACTTTCTCCCACCCAGAACCCATCGTCAAACATCTCATCACCCAGTCCCGCGCTCTCAGGAAGAAAACAGAGAAGATCGTCCACGCAGTCGAGGGTGCCCGTTCGCTATGCTTGGACGTCGAGACTTCGCTGGAGTTTATATCTGGGGGAGGGGCCTATCTGCTGGAGCTGGATGATAATTTCCTTGTCGATCGCGTCGTCACGGTGCCAATAGTCAGTCTGCCCAATTATTTAACTATCCTTCTTCTTCTTCGAATAAAACTTATTATTTCTCTGGTTCTTATTATTTTTTGGGGGGCAATTGTTGCCCCGCCCGCGCGAAAGATAAGAGAAAAAGAAAAAGCAAAAAAGAAAAAAAATAAATTGTCCAAAAGAAAGACAAACTATTGCAAATATATGGAGCAATATTTGGTACAAAAAATATCTAAATAATGAGTGTAAACACTGACCAAAGTTTGAACTCTTTTAATAGGTCCACATCGTCCATTTTAATAGCAACGATAGGATTACACAAATCCGACTGTACTGGGACCAAGGAGCGCTTCTCAAGCAGCTTGAGGTCATCGACGCGGACAGCCGCAATTGGCCAATCCGCTACACTACTGAACAGTCGCGTCTCGTCAACTCCTCCATCTCCGCTGCGGCCAAAAGCTCCACTTCCATTTCGTCGCCGGCGTCTCTGCCAGAAAAGCGATCGATTACTACTGCCGCGTCAAACGCGTCATTTGGATCAATCTCGTCCCCCAGCAAGAGAATCACCAAAGATCCGCATACTTCATTGTCGCTTTTCGAACCCCGTTCTCCTCCACCGGAAGAACGGCCCGTGTCAGGCGCTTCGCGCGGGTCTGCCAAACCTCCTCCTCGCGATTTAGGTGAATTGTTTGTTGGGTCCGATGCTGAGTCCACACCTACGAGAAAATTCTCGCGGCCTGTAAGGAATGATGACGTTATCGCGTCCAAAGGAGGGGGGGGAGATATGTATAGGCCATCGCGGTTGTTTGTGGATGAAGATGAAGGGAAACGAGTAGAGCAAGAGGATAAAAAAACAGTAGTTAAGAAAACTCACTCATCGAAATACAGCCATTTCGAGTTCGGAGAGACTCCTCATCCTAGACCCACGACGAAACCACAGGCCCCAGGCCACTTTGAATTTGGCGAGGCTGAACCACCCAAACTGAGGCAAGAAAAACCAAGGCAGGAGAATCATTTTGAGTTGGGCGAAGCGGACCAGAAGAGTGTACAGAACAACCTCCCTATCCGCCCCCACGCAAAGAAACACCTGTCCCAGTGGGATTTCGAGGACTTTGCCACTCCTGAAAAACCGCGACAGAAACTCCAGCCGCAGAACGTGCGACATTTCGGCTGGAGCGACGATGAGGGGGATGCTGCAGATAGTCCACCTAAGCAACGTCGAGCCCCGCAACCACGGCGCGATGCAGAAACGCATTTTGAGCTCCGTGACGATGAAGCGCCTAACGCACGCGAGCTGAACCAGCCGATCAATCCCAGGGGCAACGCACATAACAAAGGCCTGGGTCTGTACGAAAATAATATCTTCGAGGACGCCGATGCACCTATCGCCAACAAGAAACAGCAACAACAAGGACAGGGGCAACAGGGGCAGGCGCCCTTCAAGGTCCCCGGCGCTGCACATAACAAAGGTCTAGGCCTGTATCAAAACAACATCTACGGAGATTCAGACACGCGCGTCCCAGGCCCCGGTAGCGGTGCTGCTGAGGGTGGTACTGATGAGGCACCGGTGCGACCTGCGTCTAACATTTCTGCAAATGCCGCTCATCGGCGTAAGGATTTTGATAGCCATTGGACGATGGTGGACGGTGGTGCGGATGATTCGAATTCTATGGAGAAAGGGGGGGAGAAGAAGGTGAATAATGATAACGATAATACAAATAATGATCATGATAGTAATGGCAGCGGTGATGCCAATGGGAAGAAGAGCGATGAGAATGGGAATCCACCCGCAAATGATGATGGTGGTGGTCAGAAGAAGGCTGTGAAGCCGATCGATTCGAGCTCGGATGCGTTTGTGGCGGAGGAGGCGGAGGTAGAGAAGAAGGTGAAGGCCAAGCCAGCGTCGTCTGTGGGTTCAGACGTGGGTGAGAAGAGGATCAGTCGGAGTGTTCATCAGAGGAATTGGAGCTTTGGAGATGATGAAGGGTTTTAGTATGAGAGTTTCTCAATGAGATTGTGAAAAGAGAGAGAGAGAGAGAGAGAGCAAGAGACAGAGTCTGTATTAAGTGAGTTGATTGATTGATTGATTGATATATTATTCTCATTCTCTCTCTCTCTGTGCTTTTATATTGATATTGTAAGATTGATTTTACCTCTTCTTTTCTCTTTTTTTTTTCTAACTATTATAACATTTTTTTCTCTTTTTTTCTACATTTTCAATTATATTTTTTCTTCTTCTAACGTGATCAATCACTCAATGCCTGGTTACACTCAACGCCTGCTTAATCTTCATTTTTTCATTCATTTTCAAACACTTACAACATGCACAATGAAACAGTTATACAAATAACAATTGATGATTTGAATCTGCAATTGATTTCTAATTACACTGAGACTGCTAAAAAATATGAAATCTGTTAATATATATTATCACAGTATTATAAACATGTTTAAATATTAAGAAAAAAAGCAAGTTTTACTTATTATTAGACTGACCGTGTGACTGTGTCTGAGATCAGAATCAGATTTTTTGATAGTTTTATTATCAATTCAACTGATCTCATTACACAGTTTTAACATTAGATAGTAGTTTTATACTGTCTCAGTGAGACTTACTATTTACTCTTATTACATTTTTTAAATAAGATTATAATTTTCACTTCTCAATTTAAATTATTTTTATTACTTTAAATGACTTTAAATCTTATTTAAGTGTTATCAAAAAGTGTTACTTTTTAAAAAATTAAAAATAGTCTAAAAAAACCTTAAAATGTCTAAAAATAGTAACTTTATACTAAGAATGAGATTAAATGAAATAAAATGAAATCACTTTCTTATTTTTTTCAAGTCATGATTTCATTTTAAGATCTGATATATAGTCACTTTATATGTTTTTTTAATAGTCAGTTTCAGCAGAATTCATATCAAGAAATGTATGAGATCAGATTAAATAAGATTAGATATGAAATTTATAATCTCAGCAGTCAGTCTACTTATTATTATAACAGGCTGTGTCTGATCAATTATATAGACTATTTCATTACACTTCATAGATTCAGCTGAAAGCTTCAATTCTCAGTCACTGATTCTCAGCTGAAAATTTCATAGAATTTCTATTCTTCTGCTCTGAAGCTTTACTATATATATGAAATTTCTATTCTTTTACTCTGAAGCTTCACTGTGTACATATATAAATATTCACTCTAATTACTGATTCTCATACTTTCTCTTTTTTTCTTCTCTAATATTTTTCACTTTTATATTATAAGACTTATATATTATACTGATCTATTTAATGTAAATCTCTTATACTTAAAAAAAAATATTCATTATCTTCTTATTAGAAATGATTATTTACACTCATTATCTTCTCATTAGAAATAATTATCTATTAAGATATTTAAATACATAATAATATATAAGAAATAGAGAAATAATTAAATAGTTAAGCAGATACTAAGTTTTTAAATAGAAGCTTACTTATCAGTTACTCTGACTCTGTAATAAGATTTTATAAAGAGAATATTAGTAAAAGATCTGAGAGTTCTGATATCTTAGATGTATAAAATATTTATATAATTACATTTCTTCTAATTCTGTAGATATTATATATCTGATAAATAATACAGCTATATCTACTAATAATATAAGAGAACTCTTAAATATAAGTATAGATACAGTATTATAGTGACTCTGAGTAATATTGAAATTACAACAGTAATAAATAGCTGATATATATATAACTCAATAATATTAATATAAGAAAATTTAATAATTATCTTAACTAGAAATCTCTGTATAAGTAATTTTAACACTAATTAAATCAGATATAAATATATAAGTACTGAAGAAATATTTAAATACTTCTATATATTTTAATACTTCTGATCTCACTCTCTATTAGACTAATTATCAGAATTATAAATTTTACATTTAATCTCATTTGATTTAATCTTATACATTTCTTAACATGAATCTCACTGAGACTAGTTATCAAAAAAACATACAAAGTGACTATATATCAGATCTTAAAATGAAACTATAACTTGAAAAAAATGAGAAAGTAATCTCATTTAATCTTATTTAGTCTCATTCTTGATATAAAGTTACTATTTTTAGACATTTTAAGGTTTTTTTAGACTATTTTTAATTTTTTAAAAAGTAACACATTTTAATAACACTTAAATGAGATTTAAAGTCATTTAAAGCAATAAAAATAATTTAAATTGAGAAGTGAAAATTATAATCTTATTTGAAAAATGTGATAAGAGTAGACAGTAAGTTTCACTGAGACAGTATAAAACTACTATCTAATATTAAAACTGTGTAATGAGAGTAGTTAAATTAATAATGAGACTATTAAAAAATCTGATTCTGATCTTAGACACAGTTATATAGTCAGTCTACTCTCTATTCATTATAAAGATTGAAAATACTTATAAAACTAAGTATAGATAAAGATATTATCAGTTTATTAACTAATTAAAATTAGTATATTAATAATCAATTGAAAGATTATATAAGATAGAAGTTTTATTTATAAATAAAAGTATGTAAATCAGTGTTATAAATATCTGATAATATTATTAAATATTTTAATATTCTGTTTTAAAACACTGTTATATAATAGAAAGTATTAGATTAATTACAGAGTATCTGATAGAGAAATACTTCTCTTATAATATTTATCTCTGACTTTAATGTTAAGATTCTAGAAGTAGATGATCAATCTTGAGAGAATTAAATAAAGATTAGTATACTTAAGAAGATATTAACTTTCAAACTCTTATAAACTCTTTTAAGTATAGATAAAAACTTAACTTATAAAAACTTCTATATATAACTCTGAACATTGAATAACTGCTTAATCAAGCTCAAGAGTATACAGAACAGTAATAGAAGATATTACATCTCAGTTACTTATATATCTGCACTAAAGAATGATAATACAGATATTATAAATTAAGTAAACTTAAATATCTATATATAAGCAAGAGTTTCTGTTATTTAAACAGACTTTTAAGTCTTTAAGATCACTTCTGACGAAGTTACTAATCAATATTAATAAGAGATATACATTAATTATAACTGATCAGAATATATTACTTTTATCTACTAATCAGTCTATATATCTTTTCATTTAAAAGAAAGATTAATATTAGTAGTCTGTATTAATCATATTATATTAAAGAAAGATTTAGAAGATAATTATAAGAATATTTTAATAAAACAGAGAAAGAATTAGCTTCTGTTTAAATATATAAATAGAAGCTTGAAAAGATCAGATAATAATAATTTGAAGAGAAAATAATAATAAAAGCAATTCTTATATTATTATTATTATTATTATTATTATTATTATTATTATTCTTCAATTATAGATGTATGTAGTCAGAGACTATGATATCTACCTGAGAAATTTTAGTTCTCAGAGTTTTTCCTATATCTGTAAAGTTAACTATTATACATTCATCAATTTCAGATATGTAAAATCAGAAAATTCCAGCTCAGAATATAAAAACTGTTTACAAATTACAGTGTTTTAACATCTTCTGATACTTTAAAACCATTTAACAATATTATGATAAAGAAAAAGAGAAATAGAACACAGTCTTAAAGATAGACACATTAAATAGATAGATAGAAAGAAATTGAAAGAAAAAGATAAAGTAAAGAGAGACTGTAACAAAACAAATTATTAAAAGATAGTATATAGCTGTTTTAACAGACTATATCTGATTGATTTCCTTCTCTTCATATTCAGATAATTCTGAATTTAGCCATTTTCTTGTAACTGCTTGAGTTTGTGATAGAAAGTCTATTAAGTATTTAATTCCTGTCTCAGTTGAGAATAAGAATCTTATATTTAATTAATTTAGATTATACTTCTCTTTCAATCTGACTCTGAGACTATTATATAACATACAGTGTATTATAATATACTCAGAATTCTTATTTGCATTGCAGAATGAGCATTCTATTAAGTTAAATCTATCATCAAATCTTTGTATATAAGATTTGAAATAGTCATGTTCTAGTTTCAGCTGTATTATAGATGAGAATATTTTCTTTTTACATTTAATTGAACAAGATTTTCACTTGAGTTTTGTTTCAAATCTTGAATAATGTATACTCTTCTTTTGTTTCTGTCAGCTTTCATTTCACTTATCTAAATAAGATTCTTTTATTTTTCTCTTTATAAAAGACTAGAACATAATCTTTTGAATAGATCTGCTTAATTCTGCACTCTTTTTTACAGCTGAATTAGTCAATTCATTATCACGAATATTCATATGAGCAGAAACTCAGTGTAAATGAATTATCAGCTTTGATATTCTTCTCTTTTGAATTTTCAAAACAGAGTTTAAGATCAGTTCAAGATTCATTTGATTATTATAAATCTGACTATTTCTAAGTCTTTTTAAAGCAGCTTAACTATCAGAGAATATTCATGTCTCTTTCAAACTATTTTCTCTTTTATGAGATTTTATTTCTATAAGTTTGAAAGCTTTCACTATTATAAATAGTTCAGTATCAAAGACTTCAGATTCACAGTCTAGATTTCAGAAATCTGAGATAAAATTGATATTATCTTCAGTATAAGCAATGCCTGCATCTAATCTATTCAGATTCTCATTTTTTGAGTCATCTGAATAAATCAGAATAGAGTCTTTTATATTGATTGTAGAAATTCTCTTCAAATACTGTTTATATTCTTTCTCTTTTGATAGTTCACTTATTTATAAGTCTATAAGAGATTCAAGCTTTTCTCTCCAGAGAGATAACTTCTCATGACTCACTTTTTCAACATTTAAAGAAGAAAATTGATTTTTAATCAGAGAGCATAGTCTGTACAGTTGAGAAGATATTTTCTTTGAAGAATTATTTTCATTTCAATTAAGAAATCTATTCCAATTCAGTTCATTTCCAGAGTTAATTAATGAAAATGAAGAAGAGACTCTTTCTCTGATTATATAATTTGAGCTCATCTTTATAACTCTCAGAGTATAGTTCATACAGATCTTTTCAAATCTAATAGCAGAAGAAGAAATTGAAGCTTCAATTTCCATTGCTTTAATAGAAGATGATTGAAATGCTCTCAGAATTCTTCTCAAGACTCTGTTTTACAGACTTTAAAAGAGTTCAGTGAAATTCTCTTAATTATTTCATCAAACTTGAACTTTATAATCAGCTACTGATGTAATACAGGCTATATATAACTGTCTCATAGCCTGGAAGAATAGATCTCTCTCTGTATTTGATAGTCTGATTATGTTGTTTAATAGTCTTTCTGCCTTGACAGTTCTTTGTTGAATGTGATATTTAAAATTTAACTTGAAGTTTAACCATACTTCTAATCA